CACCATGAAAAATCCCAGCAGGCTTCTTGGACAATCAGAATTTATCTTGATTTGAAACAGTTGCGTTGATTCAAAAGGAGGTCTCTTCTTCAAAGGAGGTGACCAGCTCCACACTGAAGTCATAAGGAGAAGAGGAAAGAGGGAGACACAAATTCACCCTTTCAGAAGTTTTGTTGCCTAAAAGAAATATGCCATTTTTATGTCTGTGCAAGAAAGCTGCAGGTAAGTTCTTCAGCAATTAGAATTCTTATTGTTAAGATACCTGCTGATACAGCAGGAAAGCTATTTTAAAAAATGGCTCCAAGTAAATCTTGTTAATATTCCACATATCAGCAAAACAACGTCTTCCCAGATCAACCAGCAATGGTCAAAGATACTACATTAAAACAAATAAACTGGGAAGTTATTTTGGGTAGGAAATTATACCACAAAAGTATGCAAGAATCAGTAAGGGATAAACCACATAGACAGAATTCCAGGCCTAATTAAAAACGCAGTATGAGAATTACACTATTGGGCAGCTACAAAGTATGACAACAACTGTGACATGTTGATTATCAAAGTACATACTGAGAGAGATAGGAAGTATGGTACTGTTATTTTCTAAGTGTCAAAATAAGGTACAACTGTGAATAACTTTTTTTTTTGCACCAGCTAGATAGAAATCCACAGAAGCACAAGAACTCTTGAAATCATCCAGAACAACGTGCAAGATTTGTTTCACTGTTAGTTCACTATTCTGTAATGTGTTTAAATTCTGTACTTTTGCAAAGCTATAAAAACAATTATGTATGACTTAAAAAATCAGAAGTTAAATATAAATGGAAAAACTTGTTCAAAAGAAGTAAAAGGAGCTGCTAGAAGTAAAATCTGTACAGGTAGCATAAAGACCATGTAAAAACATCATACCGCCTTCTGAGAACAAAAACATGCCAGACATGAATAAAAGGAGTCTGAAAGAAGATAAACAGGAATGTATCTCACCAAAAAAAAAAAAGCAGAAGTTGTGTTCAAATGAGGAAGATAAGCCCCAGATCTGGCAGGTTACACAGAAAAACATAATAAGCATATTCAAAAATTAGAGAGATTGATCTGAAAACAAAACAATCCTTCCTTTTTGGGAGCAGGAAGCCTCACACAAAAACGTGCAGAACTAAAAGACGACAAATATAAAACTGAAAATTTAGGACCCTTTCTATTATTTTCCATTACCGCTGCTTGGGTAAAGACCTCAAATTCATTAAATATTCACTTAGTCAAAGATGTATAAAATCTGCAGAGCACACAGATTTTTCTGATATTCTTGTATAACTCCGAAGGCTTTATACAAAATACAAGTCTTGGTATTGACAGAGTCCTTGCTAAACTCAAACTTTCAAAGGCTGACTGAAGAAAAGTAAGAGTTGATTTTGTCTCTATTTATCTTGAAGTCTAGCAAGGAGAAAACGCAAAGCACCATTTGAACTACTTTGGTTTGATTTGGTATGGTGACTTTAATCATGTCAGCCAGATCCAATGTTAAAATAAATTGTGTACAGTTTGCCTCACAACTATCCATCAGTAACAGGCATTTGATACATGCCCTTTAAAGTGCAAAGAAGACAAGTCATATTACTCTGGATTACAAATAACTGCTTTCATCATGAAACAGAAGATACTCCCAAAAAAGAAGAACAGAGGATCTTCAAAAGAGATACACCCTGCAAATTTAGTTAAAATCAGTTCAGAGGTGCCACACACACAGAGACCATTCTGAACTGTACGCATGCACACACAGTCATGAGAGACCTATGGTCCCAGGCCCACCTATATCCCATGGTCAAAGCACTGCTGTCTCCCTAGTATTTGTATCTGAGACACAGTAAGTCCAGTTTGGATGGGTTTTAGACATCCTGCAATTACAAATTTCAGTTGCAATGCAAATACAGTACAAATGAAAATTATTAGTATGTGGTCAATTCTTCCGTGTAATGATGTCTTTTTCTCCCCTGTTCAGTCTCACTCCTCTCTTTGATAATATTCTCTAATCCGTATCTGTTTCCCAAAAGATGAACTAATGATGACAGACTGTACAGGACATTTCCTTTAGGTTATGACTGAGACATGAGTAAAAGTAACACCTAACAAACACGCACGTCAACAGATACAGTAAAAAAGACGTACTCATCACGTGTTCTATGAGCTCCAAAGCATTACCACAAACAGTACATGTTGTTATTTCCTGTCATTGTGCCAACAGCTTCACGAAATCTTTGTCAAAAGCAATCAAGAACAATAAACCAAACATTCAACTATTGCATACAAAACTGTTTTATACAAAGCCTCTTTGACGTAATACCAGAAAGGGAAAAAAGTCCAAGCCATGAATATATCTGAAGCAACCCTAAGAAGTCTGCTTCCCCTTACTGCCTGCTGAGGTTGTTCTTACGTAGTACACAAATAACTAGCCATCAACATACAATTAATCACTAACATATATTGATAAAGCATTCAAAATAGATTTCACCTTTATTTAAAACAATTAACTAATGCTAACATTATGGTAAGAACTCATTATAACATATCAATAATATATTAAATTATAGAATATTCATATATTAATTATATTATTACAGACTAAAATATTATAACATAATCATAATTCTAAACTAACTT